GTTTCCTCGTGTAATATACGGCCAACAGTAAACTGATCTCTTTAGTGTAAAGTTATGTTTCCCCGTGTAATATACGGTCAACAGTAAACTGATATCATTAGTGTAATGTTTCCCCGTGTAATATACGGTCAACACTAAACTGATATCATTAGTGTAATGTTATGTTTCCCCGTGTAATATACGACCAACAGGAAACTGATATCATTAGTGTAATGTTAGGTTTCCCCGAGTAATATACGGTCAACAGTAAACTGATATCATTAGTGTAATGTTAGGTTTCCCCGAGTAATATACGGTCAGCAGTAAACTGATATCATTAGAATAATGTTTCCCCGTGTAATTTACGGTCAACAGTAAACTGATCTCTTTAGTGTAAAGTCATGTTTCCCCGTGTAATATACGGTTAACAGTAAACTGATATCATTAGTATATACGGTCAACAGTAAACATATACGGTCAACAGTAAACTAATCTCATTAGTGTAATGTTTCCCCATGTAATATACGGCCAACAGTAAACTGATCTCATTAGTGTAATGTTTCCCCGTGTAATATACGGCCAACAGTAAACTGATATCATTAGTATAATGTTTCCCCGTGTAATATACGGTCAACAGTAAACTGATATCATTAGTGTAATGTTTCCCCGTGTAATATACGGCCAACAGTAAACTGATATCATTAGTGTAATCTTATGTTTCCCCGTGTAATGTAAAGGCTTATTATTGTGCGTTGCTGCTTATTTGTAATTACATCGGAAATATCTTCTGCTGTTTTATTGTTCAGCGCACTAAGATATATTGAGTGTTTCATTGATATATCATGTTCAGCGCACTGAGATACATTGTGTGTTTCATTGATATAACATGTTCAGCGCACTAAAATATATTGAGTGTTTCATTGATTTATCATGTTCAGCGCACCAAGAAATATTGAGTGTTTCATTGATATAACATGTTCAGCGCACTGTGATATATTGAGTGTTTCGTTGATATATCATGTTCATCGCACTACGATATATTGTGTGTTTCATTGATATAACATGTTCAGCGCACTGTGATATAATGAGTGTTTCCTTGATATATCATGTTCGGCGCACTAAGATATACTGAGTGTTTCATTGATATATCATGTTCAGCGCACTGAGATATATTGTGTGTTTCATTCATATATCATGTTCAGCGCACTAAGATATATTGAGTGTTTCATTGATATATATCATGTTCAGCGCACCAAGATATATTGAGTGTTTCATTGATGTATCATGTTCAGCGCATTAAGATATATTGAGTGTTTCATTGATATATCATGTTCAGCGCACTAAGATATATTGAGTGTTTCATTGATGTATCATGTTCAGCGCACTAAGATATATTGTGTGTTTCATTGATATATCATATTCAGCACACTAAGATATATTGTGTGTTTCATTGGTATATCATGTTCAGCGCACTAAGATATATTGAGTGTTTCATTGGTATATCTTGTTCAGCGCACTAAGATATATTGAGTGTTTCATTGGAATAAACATCATTTATTGATTTCAAGCATACATGTACGAAACACATCATGTCCCTGTCATCTTTCATTTATGTACACTTGCTTGACCTTAGCTAGATGAAAGTTACCGAAAGTTGAAAGAAACATCTGAACCACAATTATATCTTTTTAGTCGTGACATAGTAAACGTACTTTAAAGATTATATAATATAAAATTTGAAATTAAGCAGCAGTTATCTTAATGTTAAAGTTCATCTTTCAGGAGCACTGCACCTCTTCTTCAACAATAGTTTAGACAATCTAGATTTACTTCTTAGCCCCTAGTATCAACCGATGAGTTATAGAAAGTCGCAACAGCTCCACGATGTAGTTTGATCCCGTTTGGCTAACCGTATCTATTACCAAACTTACCTGTGTTAAGGTCATCTTGAACTGTTTCTACTTGTTCAGCTAAGTAGCCTGGCATGAGAGGGAATTCACAATTTAAGTTTTATCCATTTCCCTGCGCAAAAAAACAGTCAGATCCATAAAGAGCAAAAGAGATTGCCTGTGAACAAAAACTTAACACATAGTATATATAATTCGGGAAAAGGACATGTATTATAACATTATAAATAATTCTTTACCTTTCATTCATAAATATCTGATATTAAAAAATGAAAGCACAGCAATCTGTTTCTAATTTTATCAATGAAATGGTGCCTGATTTTGTGTGTTACAAACGTTTTATTTCCCTACATTTATAGTTGTTACAATATATTTAGATCACTAAGGGAGATAACTTCAACAACTCATGCAAACTGCACAGTGCGAATAACTGCACCTGAGTACTGCAAACACGATCCATGTCGCTATTGATTTTATGCAACTATTACCAGGGAGAGGTACATAGTCATTGAAAATTATTTGTTGTAATACACAGAGAATGTTTTTTACGCATGATTTGAAATCGTAATAACTCGTTTCTAAAGCTGTGTTATAAATATGTTTAATTTATTATGTTTACTTTGTTGCCCAGGACGCCAGTAAGCGTGTCGAGTACCTTATCACACAAATGCCTCTCCCCCACACGGTCGTTGACCTCTGGAGACTCGTGTACGAGCAACACATCACTTCTATTGTTATGCTCAACACTGAATTTGACCAACAGGTATACCCCCATCAGATTCCGAATGATAGCGACCAAGAAAGCTAGCATAAAGTCCTTTTTTAGATACGAAATTATCTTTGTTTAACCGGAGATGTAAACTATCTGGTTTTGTATGCAATTTTTGTCTCATGTACTGTAAATGTGTATATATTACGGCACTCCTCAGAAAAGGATTATATACATGTAATACAATGATAATCACTAAATGGTCGAAATTGTCATATAGTGCAGTAAATGTGTTGCTTTCAGCACCTGTTCACTTATGTACTTTTACTACGTGTTTCGAAAGATTATTATAATACGTGTCTGACATATTACCAACATGTACTATCTTGGAAAGACTGTAATGCTCATTGTATTTGGATGTATTTGTATTCCCTTTCGAAGAATGCTATTGTTTCGTGTTACAAGTATATATATACATCACGATAAATCTAGCTCTTCATGTAAGGTTAACTGGCGTTTGTTATACTGTAGGACGATAGGATAGGGGTGTACTGGCCACGAAGTGAAGAACAGCTGAACATTGGACCGTTTGTGGTGACCGAGAAGTCGAGGGCCACTCACCACCTGACTGACATTTTTACCCTCTCTCTTCAATACAAGCAAGAGGTATGTAGTTAGCCTAATTAACATATTACATATGTGATATTCATTGACATCAAAAATGGGGAAAATGTAACTGTTTTTCCAATTTTATATATAAACAATACACTGTACTTTGCTGCGCCAGAATCTCACTACACCAGGCAATCATGTTATATTATCATTATTTTGGATTGTTTAACTGGATAGAAAAAACAACATTTGGGGACATATTAATTCAGCTATTACATAGTGGAGTTTATCACTGACATCTATAAATGTACAGTGACTTAGAATCATAGATGTCCGCTGTGAGGAATCTTATGATCATCTGCAACAATGCTTGCATCCTATGTGCAGCTTCCCGATTCCCTGTTTGACCACGTCCACGGATGTGACTTACAGTGGGGTTTCACGATTTCCTGTTTGACCACATCCAAGGATGTGACTTACAGTAGGGTTTCACGATTTCCTGTTTGACCACATCCAAGGATGTGACTTACAGTAGGGTTTCATGATGTATCTAGGCTGAATTGTCCTTATTGACTCGGTAATTGTCCTTTAGTATTAAGTGTTTGACTGAGCATGTTTAGCTGAAATATATATATGTATGATGATGTAATATTTTTTTAGGTCGTAGTAAACAAGTACGACTATAAGCAAAAGAAATTATAGCATCCCTCGTGTTTCGGGGAACAAAACAAGTCATGCATACCGTAGTTAAGTGTATGTCTGTTATACATCATTAATCAAGTGTATGCCTGTTATACATCATTAATCAAGTGTATGTCTGTTATACATCATTAATTAAGTGTATGACTGTTATACATCAATAATGAAGTGTATGTCTGGTATACATCATTAATCAAGTGTATGTCTGTTATACATCATTAATCAAGTGTGTGTCTGGTATACATCATTAATGAAGTGTATGTCTGTTATACATCATTAATCAAGTGTATGTCTGTTATACATCTTTAATCAAGTTTATGACTGTTATGCATCATTAATCAGGTGTACATCAGGACATAGTTTCCACTTGATGTCTTTGACGAATTTGCGAGGCACTCGAAATGTAGATCATACATTAAAAGAGTGTCTTTATTCGAAAACGACAATTATCATTATATTGGACTTTCTCCACGTCTGCCCGTATAACAATACTAATTGTATCAACTTCACAGTAACAACTGGAAACATATCAATATCGATTTCTACACTGTAATCATTTATATTAGTAGTATATCATTTACTTTGTAAACATAATATGGAAAGGAAAGTTTAAGCCTTTTACAAATCTTATAAGCATTTCATTGTTAAGACAATTCTAGTCCTAGGTTTTCACATGTAGCACAACAATGACAAACATCTGTAGTACTCAATAGGGTTGTTAATAGTACACACCCATCTTTTATGTGACGGAACAATTGAGTTTTCTCTTCATATCGCTGTGGAGAAATGGTCGTTATGTTTGTGTGTGATGACGTCAGTCGGTTGTGGAAGATATTGACACACTCACTAGGGATTCATTAACGATATCCTAGCAGGTTGTAATCCATTCTGTAAACATAAAAGATGGCTATTAAAAGTTTCCCAATTGTCATTAAACCTTTCGGATAATCAATAATTATCATACTTGATTAAAATAGTTTTAGAAATTCAATAATAAGGTGTTTTATTACATATCTTAGGTTGTAGGGAAAGGGGACGGCGAATGAGAAGGGGGGGAATGGGGTCATAAGTGATTGATTAGAATGACGCATTAAACCGCATGTGCTAATGCGTCATGTCCAGCTAGGGTAAGCCACCCTAATGCACCTAAGAATACACGGCTACACAATCAATACAATATGAATATTTTGTAGGAGTGAACTTATCATATAATAACTACAAAAATGTGCTACTTTGTCAAATATCTCCACGCATGTAAAAAAAACCAGTACGTGTGTTCTAAGGGCGTAAAGGTGTTCTCTTTGGCTTTGACATTGCTTCCAATGGTATCCTATGTATAGTGCCACTCTACTTCAGTGTTAAAACAGACACTTGATTACCCAACCTAGAACGGTTATACTCCACTTTGATCATGAAAGTGTGGCCAGGTAGAAACACCTCCCCTGAAGAACCATGGTACGATTATTACATATTGGAATTGAACCCAAGACATTTGCATCGAAGGATGGAGTTACCTATTTGACCAGATCTATCCGAACAATATTGTGTAATTATACGAGTACATATACTATCAGTAATAACTACATCGCTTCATCGCTGAAAAAAGGCAAAAAATCAAGAAATGAAATATTTTCAATGAGACTCTTGAAAAAGTACAAGGAAAATAAATCGACAGGATTACCGTCTTCTTCTTCATTGATGATACCCGCCCTATAGATCTATGTGAAATCAAAGTTATGTCACGTCCTCGTTACGAACCAAGGAAAGTACATTTAGCAATTACTTCACAAGACACATTAGTAAACACTAGAAAGAAACAACAAACAAACTATCAAGATGGTGACCATATGAAGTCGCCATTATTCTGTGAAACCTTGCGTCGTTAGATTTTCTGTCAGCATGTAACCATATTGACGGTAAAATGAGAAGCTACTATCAAGAAAGAGTGCGCTGCACGAGTGAAAAATGTCAAACTAATAGCCACACGAGTGAAATTTATTTGTTATAACTGAAGACACCACTACATTTTCTATTTATTACATTTTCAAATCATAAAAACTTGAAAATGTAATGCATTAAAACAGGCGGGAATCAGAAGCGTAATAATTAGCGCAATATTCTAATGACGTCACGCTTGACAACAAGGCTGCGGGCCATTTTGAAAAGGATACTTAATGCGATTCCGGCGTTTTTTGCTATTTTCTGGTATGACTGATTATAAAAATGTTACTAATTGTATATTTATGTAAATACTTAAGTATGTGTACCACACATTTACCATAGCAACCACTTATTCTACCCCCGCTTCATTTGAATCTGAACAAATAAATCGTTGGCTTTGATTAAGATTAAGATAGTTATTAGCTGGTTATAAGCAAAGGACAACAGGTGAATGTAGTTATGAGCTGGTTATAAGCAATGGACAATAGATAAATGTAGCTATTAGCTGGTTATAATCAATGGAAAATAGATAAATGTAGTTATTAGCTGGTTATAATCAATGGACAATAGATAAATGTAGTTGTTAGCTGGTTATACTCAATGGACGATAGATAAATGAAGCTATTAGCTGGTTATAATCAATGGACAATAGATAAATGTAGTTGTTAGCTGGTTATACTCAATGGACAACAAGTTAAGATAGTTATTAATTGGTTATAGGCAATATTTAACAGGTTTATGTAGTTTTAAGCTGGTTATTATAAATATATTACAGGTTAGGGTAATTATAAGCTAGATATAACCAATAGACAATAGGTTGAGGTAGTTATTAGCTAGATATAACCAATAGACAATCAATAGGTTGAGTTAGTTATTAGCTAAATATAACCAATAGACAATATGTTGGGGTAGTTATTAGCTAGATATAAGCAATAGACAATAGGTTGAGTTAGTGATTAGCTAGATATAACCAATAGCCAATAGGTTGAGTTAGTTATTAGCTAAATATAACCAATAGCCAATAGGTTGAGTTAGTTATTAACTATATATAACCAATAAACAATAGGTTGAGTTAGTTATTAGCTAGATATAACCAATAGACAATATGTTGGGTTAGTTATTAGCTAGATATAACCAATAGACAATAGGTTGAGTTAGTTATTAGCTAGATATAACCAATAGACAATAGGTTGAGGTAGTTATTAGCTAGATATAACCAATAGACAATAGGTTGAGTTAGTTATTAGCTAGATATAACCAATAGACAATAGGTTGAGGTAGTTATTAGCTAGATATAACCAATAGACAATAGGTTGAGGTAGTTATTAGCTAGTTGTAATTAATCAGACAACACGTTAAGGGTAGTTACTCTCCCATTCTTGTTGAAGTTGTATGTTGTGTCCTGATCTGTTAGATCAATGCCGTTTCCCCAGTCTTGATGTTACATGCCATTCACTATCCGATGGATCTATTGACCAGTCCATACGTTTCCCCTTGTCACTGTCCACATTCCTACTGACCTTCCTTTACACACTGGTCAAGGAAATCCTATACATAATATTATGGACACAAGCTAATGAGAGCCGCCGTGTGATGGAGGTTGATGGACGTAGTGACGAGTCTACCGTGAATGGATCCCTGCGAAGATATACTATAGTACTGAAAAGCAAAGCATTAAAGCACATGCTACAAATACATGATTAACTTGAAAATGTCTGTCTTCAATAAACATGTTTATGCGTTCGATTATATAACTTTATATCAATAACATAACCCCTGTTATTATTTCACATCCCTGTATCATATCTTTATTAGTCCCCTACCGGTGAAACCGGGGGAACTATATGTTTCCTCTCCGTTCGTACGTAACACCAATGTTTGTCAGCTCTAGCGGCTTCATTCCTTGAAGGATTTTGATCAAACTTCACACAATTACAAAGGACAATAATATCTCGGACAAGTTCGAGTTTCCGGGTTGTCAATAATTTTATTTTATATAATTCCTCTATCATAAAACTAACATTACAATTTCTTGTATTATTATTACATTAACATCAGTTACAAGCTAATTGTATACTTTTCATTTTCCCAAATTAACCCCAAGGGGCACCATTTGTATAAATCATTACAGTGTAATAGCTAGCGGGGGTGGTAGGGGACATGTGTTGCTTTATCAATACTCTGTATGCTTGTTAATTGATATAATGACATTCTGTTATACCGTAGGTAGCACCATATTACGGTATTGCATAGTTTTAGGATAAAAAACATAATACGTCCTTGTAATACATCATGATTACTAGCATAGTAAGTCACTGTAGCATATTACAATTAATAACAAACTACGTCATGCTATGTTATCAAGTTTTAAACAAATTATTTTACTGTAGTATTTTAAAGTTAATAAATGTCGTCCCCGTAATTTATCATGATTAATGATAAATTACGTCTAGGTAATGTATCATGATTTATACAATTCATATATCTGTTGTATGGTTTCCCGTCCCTAACGTGCAGGTGGAAACTAATGTGCGGCAGTTCCGATCTCGTGTGTGGCCCGCTTCGGAGGTATGCCCCACATCAACGCTCGAGTTCTTGCGGTTGCTTGGGCTGGTTCGAGAATGGCAAGCCACCCAGAACGGAGCAGTACTCGTCCACTGCATGTGAGTGGTTGTTGTCCTTTCTGTTACTCTGTCTTTGTAATGGCGATACTAGTGATTCCGTCTGTGTAATGGACGATGAAAGGACATATTTATAATTTCAAAGTGTATGTTAAAGCTAATTCAGATATATATATATATAACTGTGTATGTAAGCGCGGCTCGTCACTCGCCAACGATGGTTTGTCAAAGACAGGTCGTACAAGGCTCAATACGGGGAGAATTTGAATGAGCATTGCACGTTCATGGTTTGCTGTAAAAATAATGCACGTGGATTTATAATGGTCAAATAGAGCATTATTTTTTACCAGTGGAAAGTTTTATTACGTCGATAATGTGGTAGAATATACAGTTCACGTCATCTCAGAATCACTAATATATGTAAAAATATATTTATATTGAAAATATTGACATACAAATATACATATTTTATACATGTTTACTTTGATAAAATTGAAATAAACTATTTATGGTATGTGACCTCATAGATATATACAGGTACTGTAGGTTTAACATTCTAACCGTATAGTGCTGGATATGTAAGTTGCTATGTGTATGTGACCTATTTACAAAATAAATAAGTAAAGACAACAATTGTAACAAGATTGCAATAATTTTCGAAGGAATGGTTTGGACAAGAGTGGGCTGTTCTGTGTACTGGATTCCACTTTACAGGCGGCTGACGTCACTCAAATTGTGGATATCCAGACTACTATAAAACAAATGCGACGAGCTCAACCCAAGATAATTCCTAACGAGGTAAAGTATTTAACTCTACCCCTGATAATTCCTGACGAGGTAAAGTATTTAACTCTAGCCCAGATAATTCCTAACGAGGTAAAGTATTTAACTCTACCCCCGAGAACTCATAACAAGTTAAATTATTTAACTCAGCTAAATCAGCCCAATATAATTCTTAACGAGGTTAAGTATCTAACTCAGCTAGATAAGCCAAAGATAATCCTGGAAGAGGAAAAGGATTGAACTCTGCAAGAAATAATTCCTAACGAAGTTAGGTATTGAACTCAACACCAAATAATTCATAATAAAATAAAGTATTGAACCCAACTCCAAAAGATTCCTAAAGAGGTAAAGTATTGAACACAACTGCAAAAGATTCCTAAAGAGGTAGAGTATTGAACTCAGCACCAGATAATTCCTAACGAGGTTAAGTTATTTAACTCAGCATCAGATAATTCCTAACGAGGTAAAGTATTTAACTCAGCACCAGATAATTCCTAACGAGGTTAAGTATTGAACTCAGCACCAGATAATTCCTAATGAGGTAAAGTAGTGAATTCAGCACAAGATAATTCCTAACGATGTAAAGTATTTAACTCAGCATCAGAAAATTCCTAACGATGTAAAGTAGTGAACTCAACATCTGATAATTCTTAACGAGGTAAAGTAGTGAACTCAAAACAAGATAATTCCTAATGAGGTAAAGTAGTGAACTCAAAACCAGATAATTCCTGACGAGGTTAAGTATTGACCTCAGCATCAGATAATTTCTAACGAGGTAAAGTATTTAACTCAGCATCAGATAATTCCTAACGAGGTTAAGTATTTAACTCAGCATCAGATAATTCCTAACGATGTAAAGTACAGAACTCAGCACCAGATAATTCCTAACGAGGTTAAGTATTAATTCAGCATCAGATATCCTAACGAGGTTAAGTATTAAATCAGACCAGATAATTCCTAACGAGGTAAAGTATTTAACTCGAAACCAGATAACTCCTGACAAGGTTAAGTATTTAATTCAAAACCAGATAATTCCTGACGAGGTTAAGTATTGACCTCAGCATCAGATAATTTCTAACGAGGTTATGTATTAAATCAGCACCAGATAATTCCTAACGAGGTTATGTATTAAATCAGCACCAGATAATTCCTAACGAGGTAAAGTATTGAACTCAGCACCAGATCATTCCTAACGAGGTAAAGTATTAAATCAGCACCAGATAATTCCTAACGAGGTTATGTATCAAATCAGCACCAGATAATTCCTAACGAGGTAAAGTATTGAACTCAGCACCAGATCATTCCTAACGAGGTAAAGTATTAAATCAGCACCAGATAATTCATAACGAGGTTATGTATTAAATCAGCACCAGATAATTCCTAACGAGCTCGAGGTTATGTATTAAATCAGCACCAGATAATTCCTAACGAGGTTAAGTATTGAACTCAGCACTAGATAATTCCTAACGAGGTAAAGTATTGAACTCATTTAAATCAGCTCGAGATCATCCTTAAATGCTCGATTTTCCAAGTTGTATGTTTCAGTAGCTCAAAATCATACAAAGGTAAAAACCAATCAATGTAGCAAAAGTTAATTACTGCTGATGTTCTTATTCACCTTAAAACTCCTCAGAATATAAAATCACAAAGGTGAAAAAAGATTCAAATTTGAACTCAACGTCGAAATAATAAAATGATATATACATATCCAAATAAAACAATTAAAAAATTGAGTAGAAAATGTATACCGCCTCATTCATCACCATAACAAAAAAATATTCAATGTCATGAACTTTCCTTTGTCTCCATTATATCATATACTTGATCAATCATCATATCGCATCGAATCGCTTCCTACGGGTTTGAATATGATTCTGTCTATCACTTCACTCTGTGTGATTTTTTTGTACCCTTGTCATCATCGCAAAGTTTGATAATTAAATGTGTCCTGCTATCATCTCACTTGGTAAATTGGATTGTGATTCAGTGCACAGTGCCCACGTTCGCCATTGTGCTATTATAACAATGATTTACAAACAAAGTTGTGTGTTTATGTAGCCTATGTGGTCTATCATGATTTCCCCAGAGTGATACACTACCGAAAGTAACCACCGGCAGTAACAGGCTAATTATATGTGCGAAAGCAGATAGCTGTCAGTGACATTCACAACATACAAGTTTTATAGGATAAACAGTAAACAAGATAGGGTCGTGTAATCGATTTAATCTTAGGAAGGAATCGCACATAACTTGTTCAAGTTCTGTCCTACTATGTAATAAGGTTGAGTACGACAAAGCGATGGATAGGCTCCGAATACTGCTGAACCAGCATGAACGTGGCTTTGTCCTCGCATGGATGCAGTTTTAACCTCTTTATGGGTCTTTATGTTTTATTAGATTATTTACAACAGATGTCACAGCAAAGTAATAGGGATGTGGACAGGATGACATTAACAGACTATTGGTATATCGCCATAAGTTAGCAATATATAAAATGTAATGGATGATGTAACCATATGACTGTGATTAGGTATGAACATGATCTTTTATGTTTTCCCTATTTCAGAAACAATACTTGTTTTGTTACGAGGCAATATCTATGTACCTGGAACAGAGCAGAACCTATATGAATGTCTGAGTTATCCTTGCGTACTATACAAACCTGGAGTTTACCTGTGGTTCCTATAAAAACGTTCGAGACATGCCCCTGGCATGCAGTGCTATAGGAACGCTCCTACCTAGACGAGTCCCTGGATAATCATCATCGTTCGTTTGATTCCTGCAACAGGTGTTTGGTTAAACTAATTTGATTGGCGAGCCCATACGAACAGTTTCTCATTGTATTTATTTAATTAACAAAGGAATAAAATCAGTGTTCTGATGTAGTGTAATAATAACATTTAATCATTATTTATTGATTTTATTTCAGGTTTGATCGACACGTTCATATCTGTTTCTTTAAAGAAAATTTACGAGAGAGTGCAGAAATGTAAATAAAACCGCAATTAAAACACATAAACGATGCAAGATGCACATGGGGACCCTACAGATTCTTCATCATGGACGATACCTTCCTTGTAAATCTGGGTCAAATCTATTTATATCACATTACGAAAGAGAGACCATATAAGTGACAACAAAACCCAAAGGAACACTAATGAACACTATCGAAAATCGTTAATTAACATATCTCACAAAGAAATGAAATAAATCATAAAGAGACCATAAAGGAGAATAAAACTGTATAATGTAATAACAGTCTTCGTTAACCTGCCCTCTTCAAGACCCTGTTTATAGTTTGGTTTGGTTTGGTATTATTTAACGTCCTATCAACAGCTATGGTCGTTTAAGGACGGCCTCCCCTGTGTGCAAGATGTATGCGTGTAGTTTATGCGTGTGTGTTTTGGGAGCTGCGATATGTTCGTGTTTGTCCCCTTGAGATTGCGCGGAACTGATGCCGACTTTATAGTGCTACCTTACTGAAACATACTGCCGAAGACATCCAGCAGAACACCCCACCCGGTTACATTATACTGACAATGGGCGAACCAGTCGTTCCACTCCTAAACTGCTGAGCGTTAAGCAGGAGTAGAAACTACCCTTTTTACAGACTCTGGTATGTCTCGGCCAGGGGACAGAACCCAAACGAGCCCTGTTTATAACTTGTTCATCAGCAATAGACATCTATCACTACAGACGTGTTCATATAAAATATGTACGATTTACGTGATGATGCTACAGACATATGCATCATCTCAAATTATCTTGACATATCTCCCGTTTCACAAACAGTTTCATCTCGAGGCTGTGAAAAAGAAGCAGAACAATAATCAGACGCATATGATGTAAAAGTTTCGGGTGACCGGTGGGTTATAAATCACGGGGTTTTATAAATGAGCCTTGTTATACCTCATCAGCTGATATATAATACACGACGGCTAAATATTTACAAACCCTTCCCTTATAAGCTTAAATATCAGTTATAACAATTTAAAATCTGAACATAAAATGCAGTGTGATGTGTGTCATTCTACATATTTGTGTGCACTTTTAAAATTGCTTGATTATAAAAGCAGAAGTTTCCAGGGTTTTCGTAGTTTAGCTGTGGAAACTGATTAACAGATAATATTTCTCGTGAAATACATTTTTGGTTTCTTCAACTTAATTTAATCAATAAGCCGAGTAGCACATATGTTTTTTGACCAAATCCACAAACAAACGAATTGAAATACACAAGGGAAATATTTCTCCTAACAGTACAACACACATGAACAGGATTTGTTCTGAACATAGGTCTGTGTCGTGAAACATGAATTTCGTGATCAATTACTGGTTGACATATGATGTTTGTCGTAAACTGAGAGTAGTGTCGTAAACCAGGAATAATGTCGTAAACAGCTACTGGTTCCATAAAATGTGGCGTTGTCGTTAAGCACAACAAATATTTTGTATCGCGTTGTAAATGCACAAGGACTCACTTTGAAATCAACGTTCATGTATATCGATAACAACTGCAACAGAGAAGAGACCAAATCAAACGGATCGACACAAATCCTCCACTAAATCAGGTGTTCCCGATGGGCATGTGTCCATATTATACATGTTGCACCCATGCTTTATAGAATTTTTCTTGTGAGGTGAGGTAAAAGTCGTAGACTTCGGTAGTAAAATTAGACAAACGTCATGAAATTTGGTAGCGAGGAGTGTCAAAGAGTTTGGTAGTAAAATGAGGTAAACGCCTTGACTTTGGTAACGAGGTTAAGTTAATGTCATAGACAGCTTTTGTAGCGGGGTGAGGTAACGTCACAAAGTTTTGTAGCGGGGTGAGGTAACGTCACAAAGTTTTGTAGCCTCCCGTTGATAATTATTTGTGTCTGATTAGTCTCATTCACAAATAGAGTGAATGTTTGAGACATGCAGTGGGTAACAGCAGGTCATTCTTTTCTAAATCCTCGATTGCAGAGGTGACTCTTGGTTGAAGACCTCCTGTAAATAATACCTTAAGCCGAAAAATACTTTACTGCTAGCAAATCATCAACTATTTATAATATTTTGTCTTTATTCATAGCATCAGAGATGGTACAAACAAAATAATGTCTACTGGACATTACGCGAATGGGCTTTTAACATACGATATGTAAGATCTATCAGTTTATTGAGAATTGGTGATAGGAGATTGTGTGAGTCAGATCGGTGCTTTAGTATGATATTATACGTACGTCTATTCGTTTCTGTGGCAACTAACAGACCACGAGGTGCTTCATAAATGCTTACGTCTATAAATAATATATGTATGATACATAAAACGGACTATACATGATAAGAATGAACACGAAGGCTATGAGTTATATAATCTTAGTCGGGGATTTATAATTTGATCAGTCAGCATACATAATGCTGAGTCTGTATAGTTATGAAGACATGGGGCCACAGACATAAATATGTATCACTGTTGATGAACTTAGTGACAGAATCTGGCGGTTTTATCGATGTATCTAGCCAGCGTCGGACATGATGACAGAGTTATGGGTACCAATGAGTGTATAATGCGGACACTGCCTGTAGATACACTAGCATCCTTGTCCAATATACCAACATTCTGGTGACATGTCCTTATTTTCTGATAGATTATCTTTGCCTTAGCTACAAGCCGTTCATTAAAACCCAAGTGATAAATGTAAACTTAATTGAGGTCTCTATTTATATGGTTTCACCTTCTCAGATATTCTAGGGAAGCTCAATTGTGCAGTGCCCTTGGTGATCTGATCCTCGTCAACTGACCTTTTACAGCATCGTCCTAATTTCAACAAACTCTAAAAAGTAATGTTCATTTGCCAATAAAGTTTCCCTTCGTTTCGTTTTCTGCAGCTTCATTGATTAAAAACGTGTCCATTGTGATTATAGCGATGTGCGGCAATACGAGCTAGGGTTTATGCTGCAGTGTATTGCTTTTGTGGGCATGTCTTGGTTACAAACAACACTCAACAAGTGACTTAATAACAAGTGTGAACTGGTTCGATGTGTAGAAAATCGATTGATTTGACAAGAGCTTGTAATTTAAGTTTTGATCAATATTTCTGAGATCATATTGAATAGAATATTGAAGCAAGAAAATTGCGTTTTCATGTGTCTTTGTGAGACCAGAATTTGTATTTGCCTGGTTGATATTGGTTCTGTGCCAGGTAAATTGATAAAGAAATGCCCATATATATTCCAAGCTTACCATCGACCGATGTTGTCCTACGAAGGTAGAGACTTCTGGATGTACCGGTCTAAAGTTTCAGTTTGTTAGGACATTAAGACGTACATTATCAATATCACACGCAGTCGATGTTCCAATAGAAGTTTATTTAGTTAAATATACTCTCTCTGAGGTCATCACCACTACATCAACGCCGGATATTACTGTAACAAATATATTCCATACGGTAAGCACACTTTGATGAAAGCTTTCTGGCTTTTCACTGCCCCTTTACCCCTTTTGACTCCCCTTTTCACTGCCCCTTTACCCCTTTTGACTCCCCTTTTGACTCCCCCTTTTGACTCCCCTTTTGACTCACCCTTTTGACTCCCCTTTTGACTCCCCCTTTTCACTCATCCTTTTCATTCCCCCTTTTCATCTTTCCACTCCCCCTTTTCATCCCCCCTTTTCATCTTTCCACTACCCCTTTGAGATGACATGTATTGACCACGTCGATGGCATTTATCCACTGTAACATTATAGTACATATTTAGTGTCGCGCTACCTATAACTATTTGTGCATGTAGTGAACTTCCTTGTGGAATACAAAATGGTGAACACGTCTATTCGTACTGAGTTGTCATTCCTCTGTGAATCACCCCTCCCTGATTGTTAAGGTTCAATAAGCCCCCTAAAAGGTAGCATATCCACCCTAAATTTCAACCTCTGATAATTCATATTAAAGGACCCAATAACAAATAGGAACTTATGTCTATAATTTGAATATAATGAACTTGTACATTAGTTATTAAAATGGTACAATGTACAAAGCGAGGTTAACGTTGTAAAAAACAATTCGTGGAATTTATATCCCCCGCTAGCAGGACATATTGTAGGTTAACATTATTGAGGTTAGGTTTAAACATGCGAGTATCGTGCTGTTGAGATATAATGTATAGCTTGAAACTTGAAGGAAAAAAAGGCCCTATACCTCATTGATTATCTGTAAATATGCACAAATCACATCGGTTGGCAAACTTAGCATGAGTCGGATGTACATACGGAATTTTGTTGGAACATCTGAACAATATCTACAGTAATTATCACACGAAAACTAAAGAGTGCCGGAGATGGGTGGAAAGACAGGAACACAAACATGGTTATTAAGTTTGAAGGGATTTGGCTAATATTTGCTAGAGTTATTAAGCAGAAACTGCAGATAATGAGGTTTTTCGTTAATCAAGAGGCCATAACTCTGCCAAATTGAGTCCGATTAAAGTGGTTGTCAAACTTAGCCGAGCCCTTAATGCGTTGAACCCTGTTACTAAGTTTGAAAACAATCGAAAAATATTTGCGAGACTTGCCATCAGACCTGGCCGAGCCCTTAAGGCATTTAACCTTGTGACCAAGTTTGAAGAAAATCGGTTAACATTTGTTGTAGTTATTGCACGGAAACGAAACGTGACAGACAGACAGACAGACACACCCAAATTAGTATCCCCCGTTTCGGTGAAAGTGGGGGATAATAAGGCTTTGAGGCAGATGTCTCCATAAAATTGTTCACAGAAATTAAATATGACTTGCCAATCTCTTTTGCAGCCAAACTTAAAGCCGCTATATGACACATTATCTGAAGTTCTTTGATATACCTGGGTCATGCGGAGCGTACTTTATC